TTATGTTTAGATGATGGAGCGAACGAGGAGGAAGAAGTAATTTAATTTCATAACCGATAAAAAATAGGCATAAATATACATAAGTAGGTTTAGGAAGGTTATTTTTAAAAACTCGTCTCTCTCTCTCTCTCTCTCTCTCTCTCTGTCTTTACCGTAAGAATTTTGTTAAACATCGGAAATTAAGTAGCGCCGAATCACAATAAAAATATTTTTGTAAAATATAAAAGTAGGTTTCAAGTAGGTTACCTCTTGGAGGAGAAATTACAAGTCGTCAAAGTAAATAGATAAACGACCGATTGAAATCCCGAATTGGCGATTTGTCGCGCGTATCGTCGCCTATTGTCTGACCTGAAATGGGAAATCTACCGGCTAGGATGATTTTAGCGTCGAACCCGAGTAAGTAGATTCGGTACGTACAATGAAGACCGACGGGTGAAAACCTACTTGCCTACATTCATCCGTCGATAGTCTCGTTGAACGAGTCATCTCATGAATTCGTCGCGTGTTTACAGCGGGGTTTCGAATCATTCGCCGCGTTAAATACACTGAATTTGTTCCTCCTTTTTTTATCCGTCCATTCAACCGATCAATGTTGAAAACAAGTTCGATCGATTTCGATTCTTCTTCTTCTTTTTTCCTTTTTTTTTTTTTCTTTTCGCACGAAAAGAAAGAAAAATTAGGAAAAAATTATCGGGAAGGAAATCGATTTACCTTTTCGTTGCTCGATCGTTTCGCGCGATCGTGAATCGCGGAATCGGCGGAAAGAGATCGATTGGGAAAGAGAGCCGTGAACAACACGATTTACGATTATTTTCTGAAAGGATTTGACGAATTCGGTTCACGCGTGTAGTTATCGATCATGCCAGTCTGGTATCACGGAGCGCAACGAGGTAACGGAGTGAAAACCCGGACACTCGGGACAGGAATTTGGGACAGGTGGCCTAGTGGTCGCATGAGGCGAGCGTATCTGATAATTGACGATTAAACACGAGCGAGGTGTCCAATGATGGACCGGTTCCTTCGTTTAACGTTCAATATTTTCTACTAACGTCCTTTCCTCTCGTCTCGTTTCTCTTCGTCACTACGTTCATTCAGATTTCCGGTAATATTATTCCGCACAATTTATATTATCGAAATCCCGTGACACTTTCTTCATATTTCCATCGAAAAAACTTTTCCTTCCCTCGATTTCTATCAATTACCCTAAAAGATGGAGTAAAAAAGGGAAAAAATTATTTTTTTTCAGCGACCAATACCAAACACTTCACCGTGGACTCTAACGCGGTATGCGGTGGCGAATCTTCATTTTAACCTGTCTCCTACTAAAGGGGGTGAGTATATATAAAATAACAATCAGAATAATTAGAAGAAAGAATGAAATCGTCGCTCCGTTAAAACGACTCGAAAATAATAATGTTGGGAGAAAAGGTGCGAATCCTCGGTGGTGGTGAGAACCGAGTTCCGTAGGTAAGGGAAACACGCGGTGTATCCGTGCGCTGCAAAGGGGGATAGGTCGGTATGTCCGCGCGGGTAATTACTACATTATAACCCAGATATCGCGGTGGGTACATAGGCTGCGGTGCCGTTACCCAGTGCTCTGACCCAGAGCTAAGGGCGACTCGAGACCCGGTCGATGTCTCGAAATGGTGCGCGGTGCTCCGATCCGGCTCATCCACGTCTACTACGAAGTAACGTTTTATCGTCGGGCCTTCGCCACGAATCGGTCTCGCAGGATCGCGCGCAAAAATCGCGCACGAAACGACCGGTTCCGTGATCCCACCTTCCCACCCTGCATTCTTTTGGGGACCGACACGATTTCGATTCGCTTCTTACTTTTCTCTCTCTCTCTCTCTCTCTCTCTCCCCGTCGTTACTTTGGGCGGAACGTTCATTCTTGCGCCGCGCCAACATTTTAAATATATTTTCGTGTCACCGGTTTAAAATGAATGACCGGCGACACGCGTCATTATCGCGTTGTCAAACACGGAACATAATTTAACGTGTTCGTAAATTAAACGAACGGGGGATTTTATATCTTCGTCACGATATTATATCTTGCGTATAATCTTACGTAGGCATCGTACGTTGGAGCGCGATAGTTCTTGCAACGGACTCGGCCGAGTGAATGAAGCCGAGCAAGAATGAATGAAATACCTTTCTAATAGGATAGGAGAGAAGTTGTTGAAGCCGCAACATCTCGCCACGACGTTTATTATCTTTCGCGACTACCGTGATTTCCAGTTTTTCTTCCATCTATATCTATATATATATATATATATATATATATATATAT